AAATCCCTGAATTTGCTTTATGACAATGACTTATAATATCAGCAGATAAACTAGCTAAGTAACTTATTTACCTTTGTTGCATTCAAAGCGTCTTCAATTCTGAGTTGTATCCAGGGTGGTTATAATATCATGAAAAAGACTTGTTATAATATTATAATAAATTATTTTAAAATGATATTTAGTATAAAATCAGTTAAAAATAAATAAAATATCTTAAAATGATTTTTTTTGTTATTTCATTTAAACACCTTAAATATTGGGTTCTCAAGCTCTTATTAAGTTTGATGACCTTGAAATGCTAAATTGCTTAGTCAATTCATAAATATTATCGCATTGTTCCGGACGTGTTTAATAAATTGCTTTAATGTTTTCACAACTTGTCGGTGATTACTGCCTCATTTTTATGATTTTGATAAACAAAATATAGACCCGAAATTTAATTACAAAATTTACTTTTATAAAGGTTAAAAAAAAATTTACTGCCGATATGTTATTATAATATTTATTTTGATATCTGAGAAATTTACCTGAGTGCCCTAATAATTTGACAGGTGTGAACCACATGCCGGAGAAATCCGAACTGGGGCCCTCTTTCTTTTCAGCTCTTGTAAGCAAGCCTGCAAGGCAGAAATGGACGAATCTCTCATCCCACTACCCTTCACTTTATGATATGGGGCCAGGAGGGCAGAGAAGCCAAGACAGGACACAAGTAGCTCAGATACGATAGCACATGCAACTTTGAGATTTGGACAGCTTGTAAAAATAGTTCTGACGTCAAAACATTGGCAGTTATTTTTTGTTCTGTTTCTGGTTTTTTGTTTCCTTTTTCTTTTCCTTTTGCTTTTGTCCTTTACAATTTATTCCATTACTTTTTCTTCATTTTTTTCCCTTGAACTATTCAATTTGAATACCCATTTCTCTGATTTTTTTTTTTATTTTTTGCGTTTGAAAATGAAAGAGATCAAATTGCACCAATGAGATGGATGACCCCAATTAAAGCTGGAAGTTCTGCCGCACCGTCACTGCCTTCGTAACATTGCGTTGCTAAAGGAATAAGGCAATCGCATTGTTTTTGGCAATATCTGATCTCCCTCAGGTTCGCTTGAGGATGAGAACTGGAACCAATGTGTCCTCCACTTGTAGACCTTTTCTCCAAATACGTTTTACCTGATAGGGGAACAAAATTTATTAATTTAGACTTTTGGGTTCAATTAAAAAATATATTTAATTTGTATATTTGGGTTCCATTTTCATAAATAGGTCAAACAAACAAATCAACAACAAAAAAAATATTTAATGAAATCTACACACTATAATATTGAATCTAAGACTTAAAAATTTATGATTCCGGAATCCTAAATTTTCCCTAATTTCGATTAAAGTTCCCATTTAGACAAAAAAAAAAAGAGAAAGAGGAAATTGAGGAAAATCAAAGTATAACATCAATTTCGAAGCTTCTGTTTACTAAGCCGATATAATTTTAGTAAATTATTTTTGGTTTGTCTCTTAATTAATTTAAGTTGCATATAATTTATGATAGATATCCTTTTAGTATATATGTTAATTTTATTGTGATTTTCAACTTTCAACTACTGCCTCAGCAACAACATAAATTAATCCAGATATATTAGAAGTGGATGAATTTTGGAATTTGTTAGTTCAAAAATATATGTTCATGTCTCCTTAGCTATATCTATTTAAGTA